CCCCCAAATAAGATGTATTAAAAAAAAAAAAAATCATCAAACTGAGTATCTTTCCCTGGGTGGGATTTGGTCAATGAGCACCAGCCAGAGAATTTCCTTTGTTATACACACACGATAAACATTAGCATTTGTAAATACAGAATACACTGTTCACGAAAATTAAGAATGTTGTCAGCTTTGTCATATGGGGAGTAACTACAGAGACCACCACATGATCATTTAAAATATATGGTGAATATATTATGATGAAAAGTCACAGATACAATGATACAAGGCTTTTATTTCCAGCAGTCTTTTTAAGAAGCTTTTTATAGGGATATTTCATCTATTATTCATATTTTGGACTTCATAGTCTATATATGTGTCAAGCTATTAAAATTATGCATAGTACCTAAGCCAACAAACATGAGCAATGGCCAAATACAATTTTAACTGCTAGAATACTTGACTATATTCATATGACGTACCATCTAAGAGTCTGGTCTATGACCAAACATAATTTCTGAATTGCCCAACTTAAAGACCAGTAAAGAGAAGAAAATGTGGCCCTATCATCTGAGCCCAAGCTGTCTCTCAGAGTATTGTATAGATGCTAGAAGTCTAACACTTCAGAGTACTGTAATTAAGTATTTTATGACACCCTCAATCAGCATGAGCTTGAAAAGTGGTTTGGTCTACAAGCATAGAAATCTGAAAGACTAAAACGACTATGGGATATTTTAATAGACATTTTAATAGACTCGTTGCTGCCAGAATTTGAATATGTTTTGACAGGAGGCTAGTTGGATACTTTTCATTTTCCTCCTAACATCAAAGGTGCTAAATGAAGGACCTCTGTGGCTCAGTTTTTGTGTAAAAAATATAAAGAAGCTAGTTGAATATGATTTCTGGTAGTAGTTTGCTGGAATCGGGTACTTGCCTTTCTTATTCAAATAAATGATTCACATTAGCTGTTTGCATACAAAAGCCTTTAGAAACACCACAAAGGGGAGTCAGCTGACATATATAGTGTTAAGTGATGGCCAAGGGTTTTCTCTGCCTTTGCTGCCCCCAACATCCTCTCTGGTTTCAGTCACCAGCTCAGGCCACAGGAAATTCTTCCTTATCAGACCATATAGACAGTAAATACTACCTTTTTTCTCTATGAGAAAATTAGAAAGTGTTACATTATCTGGAAAATTTCCAAGGCTGGGTGATTTGAAGTTTCACTTTAATATTCATTTTCTGTTACCCATATGTAAATTTTAAAATAATTTTAAAAAGCAAACAAATACTTTTTCCTTCACCTAAGTTAACATACGTCTACCCTCCAGCCAGTGACCCACCATCTCCTCCCCTCCTGCCCCTACCCCACCTAGTTATCATCAGAGAACGACATCTCTTTAGATCTCTTTAGGACGTCTCTTTCAGGGTGAAAACAAGAAAGAATATACTCTTAGGGATCATTCCTATGTTGTTAAGTGCCATCGAGTCGGTTCCGACCCATAGCGAACCTGGATAGAGTTTCCGAGAAGGAGCTGGTGAGCTTGAACCGCCAACCTTGCAGTTCAAACGGCTTTGCAATCTGGCGCATTAACTCACAGTGCCACACCAGGACTCCACTTGACTTTAATATTTAAAAAGCAATTTATTAAGATGCAATTTTTCAAATAGAATTTTCTAAACTCAGAATTTTGTAAGGTAGATACTTAGGCAATCTTTATTATACATATTTCCATAATGAAACTTGCCTAGCAAATATGCTGATGGATTACAAAATACAATAAAATAATTCACAAGCATCCACTGACTATGAACACATACACAGTCATTAATCTTTCTCTTTGTATTACTCTTTCTCACCTATATTACTACTGGAGTCCTGCTGAGGCGCTGGAAGATAAGCACTGGACTGCAAGGTCAATTTGAAGCACAGGGTGGAGGTTCAAACTCACCAGTCACTCCTTAGAAACCCTATACAGGGTCACTGTGAGTCAGAACTGACTCGACGGCACTTAGTAACAACATATTCATTACTACATGAATTAAGATGTATCTGGTGGCTGCTAACATGATTTTTAAGCCTTTCAAAATTTCTCAAAATTTTGTTTTACAAAATAATTCTATTTCATTCTAAATACAGGTATGCATTGCTTAACATCCATACAGGCAATGTCAGACCACATATATGTTTGTGGTCCCATAGGTATCTTTATTTTAAAAGGGAAAGCAAGGCTCCTTTTATTATTTCCTCCTAATGCTTTTAAATACCCCAAACCCCCAGAGTAAGTGAGCAATGGGGCTCCATGCTGAATCCATTCCCCCCCCCACCCCCCCGTGCCTCTTCCTCCTCCTGGCTTAATCCAACAGCCCAGCAACCTACAGCTCTTCAGTCCCTGCACGGGGCGGTGTCTGCCGAGGCACCTCTCCATTTGTGGATGCTGGTGGCACTGGCTGGACCAGGGTGGCAACAGCAGGATTAAGAAGTGGCTGAAACATCAGGGCTGCCATCACGAGCCACTTTCCTGTCACCTACACACCCTGTTCCCACAGCTACCTCTCTACCATTAAACTGTGTCCAGATGTATGACAGTCCCCATCTGGTTGTGGTGGCAACCTGGCACCTGGCACATCTGGCAAGCTGTATCCAGTGGATACGGCTCTCAGGCTTCATCTGGGGGGGTTGGGAATAAGGCTTTAATGTAACATGCTGTATGGGTATTCAACTATGATATGATTGTATAGGGACTGTTTGTATGTTGTGTGCTGCTGAGTTAGTTCCAATTCACAGCAACCCTGTATAGGGTTTCTGAGGTTGTAAATCTTTACAAGAGCAGATAGCCTCATCTTTCTCTCAAGGAGCAGCTGGTGGATTGGAATTGCAGCCCAGTTTGTAATCCACTACACCACAAGAACTCCCATCTGTGTATAATATGGTATTCATACAACATTCAAATCACCTAAGTCCTATTTCACAGAACATACTGTGGATTCTAATCGATGTATACCTGCACTGAGAGCCAGTCTTGAATGGAGGTGTTGGGCTAAAGGCAGCCAAGAATGAGTAAGACGGAGCCCTGCTCAGATTATAGTACCCTGTACATGTTTGATGAATTGTCTCACTGAACCTCGCTAATAATGTAGTTTCAATGCTCATCTTCAAACTATAAAATAATTTATAGAAGTGCCAATAAAAATATACTGTAGAAATAATATTTTGAAAATATAAAAATATGTTTTTAAAAGGTCATAATAAATATCTCTCTAAATAACATTTTCCTATCTCTATTATAAACTTTCTCTGAATTTTTCCATAATATATAATGAATGGAGGATGAACCCACCGGCTTATCCATAAACAGTAAGTCTTTGTCATTTAACATTCCTCTTGGTTAAACTAAAAATTTTAGCTCAGTGCTTTTTGCCCCCCTTCACAACAAATCTTAAAAGAATTAGAAAAAAATTATAACTAATGACTCAGAGAACCCCTTTTAATGATCAAAAGATTTCAAAACAAGGTGTTGCCTTTTTAAAAATCTCACTATTTGTAAAACTGAACTACTCAAGTTTTTCAAGGCTCTAATTGTAGATATTAAAACAATTCTTTCTGAAAAATAATACTTCTCCTTTATCTTGCCAACATGAGAAAATATTCAGACACAAGTAATTCTAATTTAACATATTACATTTCTTGGCTAGGATTTTGAGCATAAAGGCTGGGAATTACTGTTTACACAGAATCTATGTTTATGTCCAGTGACTGATTCCAAGACAATTGAGATCTTTCCTGTTTTACATATACGTAAGCATAGAAAAACCCTAAAGTTTTAATCTGCAGCACTGTTAAAACTGTAACTAGATCACAGGTGTTTTGATATTAAAAACTATGTTTGATATGTTATTCTATTCTTGCTTCAACACAACTAATTTCTGATGTCGCAAAGAAGAAAACATCGTATCTGATCATGAAGGACAAAATAGCCCACCACACGTCGATGTCAGTAATGTCAGTCATCCCTTGCCACTGACCCCTCAAAATAGTTTCCAGTATCAGGAAAGTCTGAATTTACATAGGAAAGGCTGTTCTCATGACAGTTTTCTTCCTGTTCTAAATTTTGATTTCTGAAATCATCAGATCTTCTTCTTCAGTGAGCTGCTCAACTCTTATGTTAAAGTGCCTTAGGGCAGCCTAACATATTGAATATGACACTTATTTTGAATCTTTTATGATGGTGCTAGTGGGAATTCTGCAGCAGCTGATCTAATATTAACTATAAGTAACAATACATACTGTATAATATTGGCAAAACTTCCATCCACATCTTAAATACACTTTATGACTGATACATCTGGAATTGTTATTAAGCATTTTACATGTTTAAATTGTAGTATAACATTTTTCCAAACTACGGACACCCACCTTATCAATTTATATCAATTACTACATTACTAAAGAAGTTAACTGATGTAGTACAATACTGTAGGGCATATAAGATTTCCTCAACAGGAATTGTAACTATTTGACAGAATTTATAGGGCTTAAATTATATTCACTTACTGACCTCCAAACATAAAAATTAACAAAACGAAACAAAACTTGTAATTAGAGCCCAAATCTGTTGAGCATCTCTATCAGAGATTTTAGACTTCAATATTAAAACTATACTCAGGTATACAGTGTAGCTTTCCCTAGTGGGATGTTTTAAGAAAAAGTAGGCTCTTCATTACCATATGCAGTGCCCACAGAAGCCGGGGACTTTTAAGGCACACACTGGGCACACTGCCTTGATTTGATCATTGGGCACACTGCCTTGATTTGATCTTTTAGGTATTCTGTTTTGGTTGGTGGTAAAGATTTGGTAGAGGGTACTTTTAGAGAAGAAATCAGGGTGCATACTTCATTTCTTAAAAGGTTTGCTTTCTCTTCTCATAAGTGCTTGAATAAAGTGCCTTTTGAGAGCTCAACTGCCCACATCTTCAAGCTGAAGGGGAGCCTCAGGTCACCATCTTGACCTTGACTTTTAGCGCTTGATCACAACTTGTTCATACGCTCCAGACCCCACCCTAAAATAGCAGAAAAGAAATGTTAAAAGCTTGAGCTGTGTACCATAATAGTCCACAAAGACAATGTTCTAGATCTTAGGTTCGTGAGCGCAACTGGGATCTTGAAAGCTCCTGAGTGGCCATCTAAGTATGGAAACAACTACTGCTCTCAAACCTCTCAGAGCCTGAAATGAATGAGTCCTAAATGAGTTTGCAATTTTCATGCCGTAGTCATGAACATTTTAAAAGAAGCTCATCTGGATTTAAGAGAAGTTCACAAGGTATTCTTTGGACTACATACCTATTGGGAAGATGATGACTGCCAAAGGTTGTACTTCCCCCAGGACCCACAAATAACCTCAATCCTTCTTCTGCAAGAGACATTAAAAAGCTTTGTCATTTGCATCATGCAATTGTCAAAAATAATTTGTATTATAACACCTTTGACATTTCAGTTTTTAAAAAAGTTAGACTTTATAATAAATTAAATTACATTCATGTTCTAAAACAGGTGCTTTATATAATATACTGTTATTCCTCATCAACTTTCCTAAAGCTCTTCTTCTTCCTACAAATCTCCACAATTAAATTTTAATTATCTCTCTACAAACAGTTACATAATGACACTCAGCCCACCACTATTAAAGCACTCTCCAGTCACACCGGCTTGAGTAATTATACATTTCAGAATTAGTTGCATGTAATTTTTCCATTTCAGTGAGAATGCTAAGGAAGGAACCAAGGATTGTTATTCATGATCACTTCAAGGGTACCACCTAGCACTAAATTACTTTAGTAACTTGAAGCCTTATGCTCAGTTATAACAGAAGTAGACAGATATCTATCATTAGGTATATACACAGAGGATCATCAATACATAATTAAAAATACAATAATGCTTTCTTTAAAATTGATCTCTTCTAGCTATAGTTTTTTGTTTTTTCAAGAAAATTCAATGTCCATTCTCAAAAATAAATGAGCTATAGTTATCATGAAATTCTTAGGGCATGAAATTTACAATGTACAACATCAGCATCATTTCTTTACTGCTGACCATACAGACTACACAAACCTGGACTATGCACATCTACAGTGAATGGTTGTCTACTTACCTTCTGCACTGGAATCTAGGCTGAAGTCTTGACTCTGTAGTATCTTTTCCACAATATCATCTGCGTCTACTCTCGTGGCATCGACTCGCTTTAGTTGAGATTCTACAGAATCTTGTTTCACTGGGTATCTTTGAAAATGGAGAAGTTTACAATTTTTCCTTCTTTTTATTATGTTATGAAAACAATAAAAAAAACCACACAAAAACAAAAACCAAAAAAGGATACCTGTTAGGTTTTTCTGATGCAGTATCTTCTTTATCAGTTGAATCAAGATTTGGGTCAGCTATTTTTTGCTCAATTTCATCACATGGCTCTAGAATGCTCTCAATTCCTGTTGATGTACTTCCCACTGAGGTATTTCTCCTGTGGCAGAGCTCAGAGAAGCTGGATGACCGGGAGTGACACGAACTATAGCCTGCCAGAGAAAACCACTTTGGTTTTCATCCTAAATCACACTAAGGGCAATCTAACATTGGTCTCCCACACCAACTCCAAGCGAAACTTCAACAACAATTGTCTAAGGAGTTCAACTTCATTGTTGCTGTTTACCTGATACTTTTGACTGCTGACTTGCATAGCTCGATGTTCTGGAATGTCCACAGGCACCAAGTTCATCTGGAACAGACGCGCTCTTTGCTGAAAGATCTATAATGTATCATACCATGTTGTCATTAGTACTGCCAACAAGTTAATGTTCATTTATACATGTTATAGTTTACACACATTATAAAATCTTCCATGTTCATTATCAACAAAAAGTTGTTGTGAAGTGACAGAAATCTTTAAATCAATACAATGTAAACAACTATGTTGCAAGAAATACAAAGTACTCTATTAAATACCTTTGTTTACTGAAGAATCAAAACATTTTTCATAAGATTTAACAGCACTCAATCTTGAATAATAGCATGCTATCTTGAATAACATAACATGATCTCAGTTTTTTCCAGTGTTTCTCTAATGAAAATTGGTCAGGCATATTCTTATAAATGCTCACCAAGTATTAGTGCGGCTTCAAAGGAAATCTTGCTTCCTCAAAAATCTATCACAGCAGTAAACTGAAGAGTGCTTTAGACTTTATTTAATGTTAGGGTTGCTAGTGCTAGGCTATAATTTGGACAATGCCTGTGGCTTAAAGCAACACAGCATGGAAGGTAGCACTGAGAACAAAAATGCTTCAGAAATTGATTATAGTAGTCAGTTTCAAAGTAAATGCACAAAAAAGGGGGTGTCAAAGCTATATAAGATTTCAACTGGTTTCCTGTTAATGTGCAAATAAAACAAAAAACCAAACTCAGTGCTGCTGAGTTGATGCCAACTTATAGCGATGCATGTTGTTAAGTGCTGTTGAATTGGTTCTGACACATAGTGGCTCTGCATAAGGTTTCCAAGGAGCGGCTGGTGAGCTTGAACCACCAACCTTGTGGACCTTGTGGTTCAAACCAACTTTGCAGTTCAGCGCACTAAACCACAGCATCACAAGCAGAGTATAACTGTTCTATAGGTTTCTCAAAAGTATAATTTTTATGGAAAGAGACTATCACATCTTTCTTCCATGGAGTGAATGGTGGGTCTGAACTGCTGACTTATTAGTTAGCAGATGAGCACTTAACCACTGTGCTACCAGGGCTCCTTTATTTGAATATTGTTGTTGTTGTTGTTATGTGCCGTGGAGTCGGAACCGACTCATAGCGACCCTGTGCAGGGTTCCCGAGGGTGTAAATCTTTACGGGAGTAGAAAGCCTCATCTTTCTCCCGCGGAGCAGCTGGTAGTTTCGAACTGCTGACCTTGCGGTTCACAGCCCGAGTCATACTAGATGTTAATTTTTTATTTCCGGGCTTTTCCCACAGAAGGCAGAACTGTGACCATTTGAACTAAGGTGAAATATTTAGAACCTGGGACTGTTTTGCATTCATTTAGAGGCAAAGGAAACCAATTAGTAATATAACAATTATAGCAGCAGTTCTATAAATGATACTGAATACATCTGGACCCACAAATGCTGCTATGTAAGTAAGCTACTGCAGTGAGCTGTATCTTCCACAAAGACTTCCTATTTCTGGGCAGACTGTAAGATACAGTCCAAACCAGCATCCCAAACCATCATGCTCTTCGGTGGTCTCAAACCCAAAAGTTAGCTCTAACAAAAGCTGAATTCAACAAACTGGTTCATATCAAGAATTATATAGAGCTAACTTTAGGGAGCCTTGGTAGTGCAAACCTGCCCTGGAAAGACCTGGCCATTTGATGCCATAAAGTTGACAACCAAGAAAACACTCTGTTACATGGTATTGCTATGAGTCACAAATTGACTTGATGGTGAACAGCTTTACTCCTATGAGTGCTTCAGATGGTAACTTATTCTTGTATTACTGGTGGGAGTGGTGGTAATTATGTGCCGTGCAGTCGTTTCTGACTCAGAGTGGCCCCTGTATAGGGTTTCCTAGGTTGTACATCACTACTGGAGCAGAAAGCCTCATCTTCTCCCACAGAGTGGCTGGTAGATTCGAACTGCTGATCTTGTGGTTAGCAGCCCGACTTGTAACCCACTATAGTATCAGAGATCCTTATCCATGTATTACTAGTTTTCAAAATGTACTCACTCAATTAAATATTAGACTTTTATCAAGTGTTGTGCCTAGCACTGTACAAAATTAAAAAAAAAAGGTTGCCATTAATTTGGTTCCAACTAACGGTGGCCCTCTGTGTGTCAGTAGAACTGTGCTTCCATAGGGCTTTCAGTGGATGTGGTCTTTCAGAAGTAGACTGCCAGGCATTTCTTCTGAGGTGTCTCTTGGTAAATTCGAACCACCAATTTTTCAGTTAGTAATTGAGTACTTAGCTGTTTATGCCATCCAGAAACTACCATATAAGATATAACAGCAAATCTCAACCACTGCCACTGAGTTGATTCCGACTCATTTCAACCTTAAATACGGTTTCTGAGATTGTAAATCTGTATGGGAGCAGACAGCCTCATCTTTCTCCCATGGAGTGGCTAGTGAGTTTGAACTGCTGACCTTGTAGTTAGCAGTCCAACACCTAATCCACAGTGCTGTTGAGTCAGTTCTGACTCATAGAGAGAATCCTGTATAAGGTTTCTGAGGAGTGGCTGGAGGGTTTGAATGGCTAACTTTATGGTTCACACTCCAGTTCTGATCTTACAGTGCCTCATGAGGACTCCTGGATAAGATACGTTAAGTTATTGTTAAATGCTGTCAAGTTGGTTCCAACATAGCAGCCCTGTATAGGGTTTCCAAGGAGTGGCTGGTGGGTTTGACAGTCCAGTGCTTATCTTATAGCACCACATCAAGTGTCCTGATGAGAAATGTTGTTAAGTGCTGTCAAGTCGGTTCCGACCCATAGTGACCCTGTGTAGGGTCTCCATAGGGGGTACAAAAACACAAAAGACAAGATATGGTCAGAGTGTAGAGGTCAAGGCAAACAGTTATAAAGTGGCAGGTACTAAAACACAAGAACTGAAAAGACGCTATCAGGAGCTCAGAGGGATAGCATAACTATTACTCTCTGGTAATGGGGAAAGGTCGCACAGAAGAGGTTAGCCCCAGGACTTAACAATGTGGAAGAACAATGTGCTAGAGATAAGGCAGGGGAAAGGCAGAGTGATTAGGAAGCCATTTTTGTGGAAATGCAAATAGATGAGTAAAGTTGGCAGACAAGGTAGTAGAGCAGATGACTGACGGGACAAGCTGCCTGCTGCTGAAGGACCTTTTATACTGTGCTATTTGCTGAAGACCATTCAGAAACGATTCCAGGAGCACATCAACAGGGGGCTGCCAGAAATTCAAGCCAGAGTCAGAAGAGGACATGGAACAAGGGCTATCACTGCTGATGTCATGTGGATCTTGACTGAAAGCACAGAATACTTGTGCTTTATTGACTATGCAAGGGCATTTGACTATGTGGATTATAGCTAACTATGGACAACACTGAGAAGGATGGGTATTCCAGAACACTGAATTGTGCTCATGAGGAATATGTACACAGACTATGATAAGAACATGCACATGGACTTGTTCAAACAGAACAAGGGGATACTGAATAGTTTAAAACCAGGAAAGGTGTGTCAAGGTTGTAACCTTTCACCATACTTACTCAGTTTGTAAGCTGAGCTAATAATCAGAGAAGCTGAAGAAGAACTTGGGATCAGGATTGGAGAGAGTCATTAGCAACCTGTGATATGCAGATGATACAAGCTTGCTTGCTGAAAGTGAAGAGGACTTGAAATACTTAGTGATTGAGACTGAAGACTAAGGCCTTCAGTATGGATTGTACCTCAATGTAAAGAAGACAAAAGTCCTCACAATTGAGCCAATAGATAACGTCACGATAAATGGAGAAAAGATTAAATTTATCAAAAACTTCATTTTGCTTGGATCCATAATCAACACTTATAGAAACAGCAGTCAAGCAATCAAATGACATATTGTGTTGGGCACATCTGTTGCAAAAGACTTCTTTTAAGTGTTAAAGAGTAAAGGTGTCACTTTGAGAACTAAGATGTGCCTGACCCAAGTCAAGATATTTTCAAATGCCTCATATGCATGTGGAAGTTGGGCAATGGATAAGGAAGACTGGAAAAGAATTGCTGCATCTGAATTATAGTGTTGGCAAAAAAATATTGAAAGTAGTATGGACTTCTAGAAGAACAAACAAATCTGGTTTTTCTAAGGAGCCTGGACGCTCCTTAGAAGCAAACATGGTGAGACCGCATCTTTCATACTTCAGACATGTTGTCAGCAGTGACCAGTCCCTGGAGAAAGCCATCATGCTTGGTAAAGTGGAGAGTCAATGGAAAAAAGGGAAGACCATCATAAACATGTGAAAGTTCGAAAATGAAGAAAGAAGACCAGAAAAGAACCGATACTTTTGAATTACAGTGTTGGCGAAAAAGAGGAAGACCCTCCCTGAGATGTACTGACACAGTGGCGTTAACAATGGGCTCAAACGTAATAACCGTGAGGATGGCACAGGATCACGCAGTGCTTTGTTCTGTTGTGCACAGCAGGGTGACTATCAATTGATACCAACTCAACAGCACCTAACTACAACAATTAAAAAGTTTAAAGAAAAATTAATTCAGTGGCTGTAAGCAAAGGTATGACATAACCGGATCTACATTTTGGGAAGACAACCTTGGCAACAGGAATAAAGTGGGGTTAAAGGAGTGAACATTTTCACAGTAGTTCAGCTATGAGCAAGAGATGTTGCTATTAGGTGCCTTCGAATGACACAGAACTGTCCCAAAGGGTTTTTCTAGGTCCTGGTGTGGCGCCGTAGGATAAGCACTCGACCTCAAGGACAGACTCACCAGCCGCTCCTTGGAGGCCCTATACTGGGTCACTATGAGTCAGAACCGACCCGACAGACCTTTACAACAACAACTACAAGACATTTTTTACAAGAGCAGACTGTCAGGTATTTCTCTGGCAGTCCTGCTGGATGAGTTTGAACCCTTAGTTAGCAACCAAGTACTTAACCATTATGTCACCAGGCACCAGAGCTCCTGGAGAGATGTTTAGCAGCTGGTGGGTTTGAACCACTGACCTTGTGGTTAACAGTCCACTGCTTATCCTACAGCGCCACAGCAAGCACAAATAACGAAACCCAATTACTAGTTAGAAAAAAAAAAAAAAAGAAGATAAGGTTTCCAGTTTGGGAATCTGGGTAGATAGATGATCAAGACTGAAAATACAGGAGGAAAAGTTATGAAGACTTGTTTGGAAATATGGAATTTGAGACATCTGAAGACATCCATTCAACAAACATTCATTGATTATCTAATTGCATTGAATATGACCCACAAAGACAAAAGTGGCCTGACTGTGAGGAACTTGGAGTTGGCTGAGGAGAAAGTTAACATGATGGGTTTTCAAATAACATGTGGCATGAGGTGTATCTTCCCAGAAAGCATGTGGATGTACGTTCAGGAGTGAGGCCTAGAAGCAACACAAATTTGTGAACTGAAAGAACTGAACTCACATTTACATTATCACATTTATATTTATGTAGTCATGAAGTCCAAGATGACACTACCCAAGAGGAGTAAGTACAGGGGACTAAACCCTGTAAGAGAAAGGTGCAAGAAGAAGCCTTCAAGAAGTCAGGAAAGAAAAGGTCAGAGAGGTAGGAGCCAAGGGGAGAGATAGTGTCAAGAAAACTTTAGTAGTCAAGTCAGACCAACCAGACTGGCAGAAGCTGATGGACGTGTAGAACAGGGAAATTCCTATAGAATTCATTGCTATAACTCTGGGGTGAGTAGATGCATACAGTGTGGGCAGATAGGGGTCTTACTGAAACATGTAGCTTTTAATCAGAGAAGAACACTTTAAACAAAATGAAGATTGCAAAGAATTGAATTAATTCAAACTCTTGTTCCTTACTGGCCCGTTTTTCAAATCACATACCCATAGAATTTCAATATGGAAGGAAACTTGGGAAATTTTCAGAACACCAAGTACTACCATTCCTCACAAATTAACAACAACAAAGAACAACCCCAGTAAACTTGTATATCCATACCTGCTATTCCAAGATGGACTTTCAGGGTTTCTCCACCTTTTCTATCTTCTTCTAGAGACTCAGATTCACCAGCAATTGGTATAGACGTTGATGTAGAAGGAGGCCTGTAAAGAAATGTTTCTAAGGATCACAACCTGATTTATGGGCAAGCCTGAAATTGGGAACTACTGCTAGAATCTGGCTGTGAGTTTAAAAAATCAACAGACAATGTACGAGCAAAGTTCATGAAAACATCAATTTGTCTATACAACCACAAATATAGGACCAGAAAGGACACAGTCTCCACGGAGTCCTGAAAAGACAGAAGGAATGTGCCAGTGTTTTCCCCTCCCCTCCCCTCAGCAAAGTGTCTGTATGGTGGAGACAGAGGCACCACAGTCCTATTAATCTGGGGTTGGGGGGAGAATAACTCATGCCTCCTGCTCCACTGCCTAAGCTCTCTTGCTGGCTCCACTTACTTCTTGAATAACACCTACAAGATTTATCCTCTACTTCTCTGTAAAACATTTCACCTGCCCCAGGAGAGTCTATAAGGAAGCCCAGTTTAGATGTGCTCTCTGGACTGGATCATCTGGGTATGTTGGTTAAGTGCTGTTGAGTCGGTTCCAACCCACAGTGACCCTGTATAGGGCTTCTGAGGAGCAGCTGGTGAGCTTGAACCACCGACCTTGCAGTTCAAATGGCTTTGCAGTCTGGCACATTAACCCACAGTGGCACACCAGGACTCCTTATCTGGGCAGAGGCAGTGTTAATTAAAGGTTCCTGTGTCCTTATGGGAGCTGTGAAGTAGGGAGGGGCAAGGTTGAATTACAGTACGTTAGTTTTTCTTAACGAAGTCTTTTAATTATAAAACATCCCTAAACTTTAAGATTGATATGCCAGAGGAAAATCACATTTAAGAAACTATTCCTTGTAATTTGGGATAAAACAACAGGTAAGGGATCAAGGAACTGGTTTACTATGTGGCGATTCGTAAATTCTTTCTAGACTATCTCAGTGGTATCCTCTAGCTATTCAGGTCCTTAGTGGGTGGGCTACACAGAGTTAAGATGGCCATTTAACGTATTTAATTCAGATGATTTCTAATGCAAGATCTCCTAAATTCTAGACTTGTAAATCCTAGTGGGACTTGCGTTCTCCTACAAGTGTATCAAACTCAGTATATTTCAAATTAAACCCATATTCTTTCCCCAAACCTGTTTTCTTCTTGCCCTTTTTCTCTCTGTGAATGCCACTGCAACCTTTATAGACACTGAAACTAGAGTCCCGGATGCTATCTGTGTTTTCTTCCTACTCACACTTTCCCATAGCCAGTCAATTTCCCAACCTCACAGATTCTCTTTGCTGACATCTTTCCTCCCTCTTCTCCATCTCCACTAACTACTTTAGTTCTGGCATTTATACTTTTCCTCCTGGATGACTGCAAGAGTCTTCCAGTTTATCTCTCTACTTGTGTTCTGTGGTAGTTCTGAAATGTGCATCCGAGTATGTTGCTCTCTGATTTGAAATCCTTCAATAGCCTCATTTGGATAAAGCATACAAAGCCCCCCACAGTCTAGCTTAGGCCTACCTCATCAACTCCCAACAGCTATATTTTTAGATAATGTAAAACAGTGTGGTGAAAAAAACAGAACTTGGCAGGTAATATTCCATGATAAAAACAAATATATAAAAGAAATACACTCACAAAGAACGGACTCTACAGTCGTATGTGTTACTCAGTGATGGTTGACTCACGCCTGCATGTCTAGACCCATGTCCCATTAATACCAGAGGAGGCCTGATGGTACTGACTATTCCACTTCTTACTGCTTTCCAACCCTTCACAACTCCACGGGCCAGCCTCTTCCCTCTCTCTCTCCCTCGCGGTCTCCCTCTGGCTTCAGTCTCCCTCCTCTTCGGTCTGAGCCCACAGTTAACTATACTTTTAGAAACACCCTCAATCTTTCTATGCCATACCCTACTATCTAAAGACAAAACAAAACACAAAAATAAATACACACAAAAAACACTAATAAACTCCAGCTCTTAATAATTCCAGCCACCTGCACTAACTGATGATTTAATATTGGGGCAACTAAGCATTACAGGAAAAAATTAATCAATCACAGGGATTGACATTTCAGCAAATTGAGAATCTAAAACCTATCTAGACCTTGGCAGCCTTTTAAAGTCTTCTTAGACAGTTCAGTCATGTGGAATAAAGAATTACTGAGTGGCTATCATGTTCCTGTTTTTATTCTATCACCCACTGCATTCTGAAAATGTTTCTATATATAGTTCAACTATAGAATGAAAGAGATGGAATATTTTTGTTTTAATTTCACAGCAATGTTAAGACTATGTGAACAATGACCTCCTAAAATGACAATACTATTTGGCACGGTGATGCTATGGGTTAAGCACTAGACTGCTAACCGTGAGATCAAAGGTACAAACCCCACCAGCTGATCAGAAAGAAAGATGAGGCTGTCTGCTTCCATAAATATTGATGGAAACCCTAAAGGGCAGTTCTATCCTGTTCTATAAAGTCATTATGAGTTGACTCGATGGCAGTGGATTTAGTGACATTCCATAAATATGCTTGCTCTGTCACAATGACATAAATTTGTGCAAGTTGTTTTCTTTTCCTGGAATATTTCTACCCACCTCTTTGCTTGATAAATTCCTACTCATTCTTTAAAACTTAGCACCATTTCCCTGGCTTTCAGGAAAAGCTGTTATGGTTCCCATTCTCTCTATGTAAATAATAGCATATATACAGATATAGATATATAGATATAAATATATAAATATAAATGTTTTATTGTGAATTATGAGATAGTTTACATGGGAGAACATTAGCTTTACATTCATTCTATCGTATATTGTTTCACTGCCATGGTTACAATCCCCTCCATGCATCATCAACCAACCTCAGCACATAGTCCCTCTCCCTCTCTGGGTCTAGAGACCCCAGCCGTGCCTTCTCTTCACATCATCATCTCTGCCTCCATCTCTGGCATCACTGCTTCTCTGGGTAGGGTCCTGCTGCTCTCCGTTCTTCTCCCTTGATGGTCCCAGGGGCTTCCGCTCCTAGACTGCAAAGTCAATCACTCCCCTCCTTTTGCTACAAAACGTCTACCTTTATGTTTCTAACCCTTACAATCAGTCCTAATAATAATTACTCACTATTGTATCACAAGAGACCTATCCGCATCTCCTTTTTCATGAGCCCTGCCCAGACAGATTGGATACTACTCAGTGGAGATTCTACATTCCTCCACGCCTTCTTGATCTGGGTTCCCTCTTGAAAGCTTGTAAGCCAGTCATATCTTGCCTTTGTAGTCTCCCCACCACCCCGCCAGCCCATTTTGGGTAGTCAATGTCCAAGTTGTCCATCTCTTTCTACTCTGTATATGAAGGGGGTGGGAATGATCCTTGCTGTAAAGATTTGTTCCCTCTTTTGAGCTACTGCATCCGTAGGTGTAGGTCAAGTTCATCAAATTGTATCAGATTACTCTTTTTCCTCTTCTTTCTTCTTCTAGTTGACCTCTGGTCATCCAGTCATTGAAGCCAAGTGGGTATTATCTGCAAGTGTGGGTGTTCTTGTGCATATGCCCTCTCTTCTTATCAGCTGGATGCTTCACTCTCCACTCTAGTCCTCTGTGGCTATGTCACTGACTCTGGGCCAAAGAGTCCCCAGGTCTTGACACACTGCTGGCCAACCAGGTCATGAACTGGGTTCACAGAAGTCAAATGAACATTGTAGGGCTTAGCTCGCCACTTCATTGCTGTTTTTCCCTCTCTTCCCCTTATCGGTGACGAATGTGGTCACCAATTATAGTGTGAAATCCCATTGAGTCTCAGTCTTGGAAGGGGGTTTGCCCTGAGGGGACCTGAACACTTGCCTTGATGTCTCCTGGGCAAGCAACTTGCTTGTTCTTATAGTAATCAGTTGGACTGCCTCTAATGTTTTATATTTTTCTTGTCGGTCTTTCTTTCAAGAAGTATCTTCTGTTCTTCTAGCTGCTCCAGGCTGGTCTGCTTGTCATTTCAAGTGGAAATTTCCCACCTCTGAAGATTCTGGAGGCGGTTCAGGATTCCATCTACGGTCTTATGTAATATAGAGGGCTCCATAGGAAGCCTCCTTCACTGGGCACGTTGTAGCCCCATTTTAGGTATTCCAATCAGTTATAGGCAGAAGAAGGACTTAACAAGCTTTTTATGGTGATATTTCTGGCTATTCCTTTCTCTCCTGGTCCAGTGTCTATTTTTATAATGGTATGCCAGGGAAACCAAGATTCAAAAGACAGCCAAGCATCTTAACATTATTTCCCCCCTTTCCCCATTCCAACCACATCTCAATCCCTGTATCCCAGAGCCCTGTTGCTCCAAGGTTATGCATACATCATTCTTTACCTCTGTCCCACGTAGCCCATTCAGACCTGCCTAATTGTTTTCCCATCTGCCTTGTTCTTCCATTCCCCTTCCCCTTCCTGTGTACTGCCCCCTTCCTAGCATCCAAACTATGCTGTGTCTATTCCCTACCCTGTGCTCCACCTTTCCCTCCCCCCACCCTCTACATCCCAGTAACAAGCAAAGAATCCACCCCCCTTCTTTAGTATGAGTTCTTTTTCTTAGTCTTTAACAGTAGTTGTCCTATGCAGTGTAATAGCATATGTTTTATGTCTGTCTCCCACATAAATTGTGAATCTCTTCAGAGTGGGGCTGGGTCTTGGTAAATGCAAGCATGTGTAGGAAATCCAAATAATAGTTGCCGTTCATTTGATTCTAAATGAGTGACACCTGGGACTTGGCCAAATAACTTCCTTAACTTCTGAATCTCAATGTCTTTGCTTAAAACTATGGGTAATACATTACAGAGTTATTTCAGGAATCAAATAGGAAGACCATATTCATAAACAGGAGCCCTGATGGTGCTGTAGGATAAGCACTGGACTGCTAACAAGGTCAGCAGTTCAAGTCTATCAGTTGCTTGCTCTGGTAGGAGAAAGAGGAGGCTTCTGCTCCCATAAAGGTTCACAGCCTCAGATACCCTATACAAGGGTCAGCAGCTATGAGCTGGAATTACCTCAATGGCAGTGGGCTTTTGTTAATATTC